AAAGGAAAAATTGAAATCGCATCATATGACCCCTTTAAATACTAAGAATTTAATAAAAAAATGTAAACAATTTATTTTAATTACAATTTTTACTTCTATTTCATCATATGTGTCTCATTTCATCCTCAGCCGCCTCCCATTGTCATGGAACAAATCAGCTGTACTCAAACCCCAGGACCATCCACAGATGAACCCCGGTCCAATCCTGAGCCGCCGGACTCTGAAACGACCAATCAGTGTGAGGACCCTCCTCCACCAGCACAAGAGGAAGTTCCTCATCTTGCAGATGGATCTACTACATAAAGACAAAAGACTCGAAGGATGCTCATTTCTTTTTCATTTTTTGAAGTCAGTTATATATCTGACCATATACGTAATAGACTTGAGCAGTATGAACATCTCAGTGCACTTGTTTTAAGCCTTTGAAATTGTACAGTCCATTTGAATCGAAGGAGGAGACACAACACTATCAGCTGTGCTTCATCCAGCTTGCTTCAAGTTCACATTTGGTGGCATTAGGAAGCATCGAATGGACCGTTTTTATCTTCTTCACTGAGTGTTATTTTGTCTCCCTCTTTGTTTTTCGTAAATTAACGTTCTCTCAGTACATGAAACAAAGTGCAGCTAGACATTTTAAAACAAATGTCAAGAAAATTCAAGACAGCTCACTGAAAATATTTCTATTTGGCTTCCAGTTGATAATGCATTGCTGACAGGTTCTGTCCTTGTCATAACAGCGCTGAAGTATTGCATCCTTTAAAATACGGTGCTAATAAGGACTGAATGAACCAAAGGCTTTGGGAATAAATATTTATTAGTTTCATCCTCAGTTTTGAGATACGAATGCTGTGGGTTGATAAGATTGTTAATCGTTTATATCATGGTACGCTGTATAATTCAGAGCAGCACTGTTACACAAGGCCACGTAATTTAACAAAAACTTCCTTATGGTTTGGAATGTGATTTCAGCGTTAGTTGCATTGAAATAGATCATATTCATAT